AGCACATATGTTTGCCATTAGTACTCTGTACTTATAATCTTGTTTAATGAAAATAAGCGGCTTTTCTTGTTTTCTGTCTTCACGCACTTTGATGCAACCTATGCACGTGGTGGATAGATGGGGACCATCAACAAATTTCTCAACTATTTTCCCACCTGCTTAGTTTATGTTGCAAGCAACTACATTTATTTAAGTGCCAAAAACTGTTTGGTAGAGATTAAGTGTGTGTTTAAATCTCATTAAAATGAGAATAAAATTTTTGGAATAGTGATTGATGAGAAAATGTGTGGTAGAAAAGTGATAAAAAGTTTTAGATTTTTGTGTAATATTATTTTATTTGGAGAATGTGTGGTCGAAATGAAGAAAGAGAAAAAAATGAGAATGAGGTTAAAATGAGTATCAAACAAGGGCTAAAATTAGATTTTTCGTAGATTTTGATAGAAGTTTTTGAAATGTATGGTTGAAACGTTGTGAAACCCATGAAAAATATGGTTAATATTGATTGTTTGACTTTGACTTGGATTTAAATCAGATTTTTAATCCGGACCAAACAGGGGCTAAATTAAGTAGTTCTTTCATAAAAAATTTCTGAGATTTATCAATTTTCAACTTGTTAAACTTCAATTTAGATTATACATTTCATCGGGGTCATAATTTTTATCAATTATTAATCATACATTAGTGCTAACTTTTATCAAAATATGCTAATTTTTTTTTTTTATATAAAGTCCGTGTTTAATAATGATTAAAATTCGAATTTTAATTTAAATCAAATTCAACAATCAATTTTAACTACATATTTCATGAATTTCATAACTTTTTAACAACATATTTTATTAACTTTTATCAAAATTTATTAAAAATATAATTTTAATCATCACCAAACGGGGCAAAAACTCTTTAATTATCAAATAACACCTTATAATCTTGGTAAATATCTATTACATGGAGGTGACACATGCTATATGCCTATATCCGATTAGCGATCTCTTTGGCTGTTTGTCATTAAATTTTTTAATGACTCCATACGTTCTTGTTACAAAGTGGAAAGACATTAATATTATAAGCAAGAATTGTAGTTCAGATCCCAAGCCTTTTAAATTAGTATGAGTGTGTTTGGTAGGGATTTTTGAGGAAAAAATTGATTTTTGAATAGTGATATGATGGGAAATGTGTGGTTGAAAAAGAAGAAAAAATTATTGATGTGATGAAAAATATTATTTTATTGAAGAATGTGTAGTTGAAAATGAAATTGATTTGAGAATCAAT